GACCTGCAGTTTCACTGTTTCAGCTAGTTTCCCGGCCGATCGCGTTGTTCCAAAGGTCTATTAGTATTACGACAAACGTGGACAATGACATTCGCAATTTTCCCACTGTAGCACATTTCCAATGAATGAAAGATACAACAATTTTACGTAAATATTAATTTATTTTCAGAGAATCACGGGATGTCTTGACGTCGTTGACAACGCAATATCAATGCCACTCGCACTATGTACATTTTAGCACTAGATCTAGTGCCGTTTTTGCACTAGATCTAGTGCCATTTTAGCACTAGATCTAGTGCCATTTTAGCACTAGATCTAGTAGTTTTTCGGATTAGTGCTACTAGCACTAACCACTCGCACTATGTCCATTTCGACAGATTTACATACCTCGCCAGGTGCGAAGGTAGGGGAGTGTTAGTAATTAAAAAGAATTAATGCTTTCACACCATATATACAACCAAGAGTTGACCAAACAATGGATTTCTTGAAATCAAACAAATCTAAGAAACATTTTAAGTTTGAGCTTTTTGAAACATTAATTTGTTTTTGGTTAATAATTAGAGGGATACAATTTCTACCAGTACCAATTCAGTGGTTTGCAATACAGAAAACTAAAGAGAACGATTTCCTAAATTTGCCTGGATTTTACAGAATTCACTGGATAAGTTCAGTGGGAAGTATTTCGCTCGAGTCAGCGTAGTTTGAATATTTGTTTGATATCAAGCTAAACTTTAGATAGTCAACTCTGAATAATATATACTTGGTGTTTGCTCATCAGTAGTCTTAGAAATCTTAGCGTGAGGCAACGGCGATGGCGGGGGAGTCCTTGGAAATTTAGGAACCAATGATGGAGACAATGGGGGAGCAAACACAGACTGCAGATCTGATCCCTTCCCTTTGATGTCGAAGACACTCTTAGGTGCGGAGTTGTCGGCCTCCAAAAGATTTAAGGTTGGTGCAGGGACAGTACAAGCAGTTGTTGCTGCTGCTGCTGCAGAGATATCAAAGCCTTTGTAAGGAAAGCGATGGATGAAGAAAAAGAAAGCATTGTCAGAAATCCAGCATTCTGTGCAGGTCATGCACATGCAAACTATCACAACACACATTAACCTAACATGTTCATTTGTAGAATTTTAAAGTGTATCCTAATTTAGGAAGAATTCAACATTGTTTGTTGCAGTTTAAGTTTTTCATACATTTTCTAAAAGATTATGAAATTCTCTCCATTTTACAAAATTTAAAAAAAAATTTAATTATAAATCACACTACCATCATGAATCGACACAAAACAAAACTATTCTCAAATAAGAAATATCTAACACAAAACAAGTCAAAAGATGTTTCACAAACTAAGGAGAAAAGAATTAACATTTCTAAGACAAAATTGCATGCAAATTGAGTTATGCGAGTAAGTAAAACAAGCAGCCTGTCGGCTAAGATAGCTCCGCTATTAGCAATGCACATTGCAATTAAAGAACAGAAGATATCATTAGAAAATGAACAATATGTATAGTATCAAAGCAACAGGACTTGCCGTTTTCAACAAGAATTCAAAAATATCACTTTTCACCAAAATTAATCTTCAAAATTAGATAATTGAAGATATCACCACGAAATTAACAAATCTGAAAGAGGTCTACATGTAGTACCTATATATGTAATATAAAAGCAATTGGACTTGCGGTTTTTAACAAGAAGTCAAAAATATCACTTTTTACCAAAAATGACAAAAATATTCACCAAAATTAGAGAATTAAAGATATTATTACAAAAAGAACAAATCTGAAAGAGGTCCACATTTAGTACCTATATATTTAATATCAAAGCAATTGGACTTGCGGTTTTTAACAAGAAGTCAAAAATATCACTTTTTACCAAAAATTACAAAAATATTCACCAAAATAAGAGAATTGAAGATATCATCATGAAATGAACAAATCTAAGAGAAATCTACCCAAGGTAAATATACACCAAGTATCAAAGCATTCAGGCTTGTAGTTTTCAAGAAGAAGTCGAAAAAGTAAAACATTGACATGGACGACGCCGGAGGACAATCACTGATATGATAAGCCCCGCTCGACAAAGTCGACAGCGGAGCTAAAAATTACAAGCAATCAAACAGTATGTAATGAATCCTGCAAGCTAATGCAACTAAAAAGTTTTCAGCCAATCTGACAGCCTGTTGCAAGCCCCCCATAGAGTTGACCAATCAAACAGCCTGTATTATTTGAGTGTGGAATTATGCAAATAATACTGAAATAGCTACATGCCATCTTAGCAATTTGACTCATCAATGCAACTGAATCTTAATTGGTGATTTTCCGTACAATTGCGAGGCCTCGCGAGATGCATGAAAGACGCGCGTCGAACGTCTGCCGCAAAAATCAAACGATTTGATTTTGAACTAGAATTTCTTTATTTCGTAGCTTACATTGTCCGGCTGATCTTCGACAGAGGAATATTGCTTCCGAATACCCTCACTTCATCAAAATTGCCTATCATCAAATGTGGACAGCACATTATTGAGCATGGAAATGTCCCCGAAATACTTTCGCGTTTGTCGAATCCCACGCGATGTTTGACGCCACTACGACGCTATGACCTTTGTTTGTCCTGTTTTTACGTTCGATTTCACGCATAACGCGTGATTCTCGCAGTGTACGGAAAATGGTCTATTGAACCAACAATCTCGTGTAATGATATATCAGTACTACTTTTTAAATTAGCGAAATAGAAATTGGCTAATTTAGCTAAAATGAATTGTTTTACTAGTTTCACTAGCCAATCTAAATAAACACAAATGCAGGTATTACTTGCAGCAATAGTAGTAGTAGGTGGTGACTGAGACTGCCCAAAAGTTTCCCCAAAACTGACATCGGTATTAGACATAGCACGAGTCTGGATACATGGTGGAGATGGGGCGAGTGGATCCAGTACTGAGGCACAGGAGAAATAGACCACATGTTTATATTTAGTAACAAACCATACCAGAAATCCATTGAAAATTGAATGACAGAGTTACAAAATCAGACATAGTACTCAGGAAAAAAGAACGCTGATGAAGACAATAATTTCATAATTAACGGGAGATAATGTAACAAATACAAGTACACACACTGTATCCCACACATGACGTCACACTATTTTCAGTGTACATTAACAAACACTCAAACTCGTACAGTAATTACTAATTATACGATACATGACAAGCAAACACAGAATAGCAGTGTACAGTAATTATACCGTCAGATGTTGGCGGTGGCGAAAAAACTGATGCAGGCTGTGGGTCAGCAATAAATAGTGATGTTGTCGCTACGGTGGGAGCAGAACTAGATAGGCCAGCAAAGTCTAGGTTGAAAAATGTACAGACAATGTTTGTTAGACAGGAATGGTGTGAGTATGTATTTATACCAGAACCTTTCCATCACCAAAAGTTTACACTTTCTCAGGGCTGGAGAGAACAACCATTTTCTGTATTTTTATTTGGAACTCTGATGTAATTTTGTTAAATCTGTAAAAAGTTGATTTTTGCGAACAGATAAAGTTGACCGTAGTGATGAAAAGGTTCAGAGGTTATTGTGTAGAATATTGTAGGGTATCAATATTTAAATGCAATGCAGCCAAGATGTAACAGTGATTTTGATTGGCACACAGAGAGATGAGATATGAGAGGTTAGTGTTGATTGGCTAGTGTGAAGTTCCAATATTACACTCTTGAGCTGCCATGAAAATATGTACACTTAAAGAATCATTTTCAGCAGGCCATGACATTGCCATCCATTTTACTGAATGTGTTAATAAAGCATGGTTGTCTATGTATCAAAATCAATAGATATAGAATAAACAAATATGTTGTTTTTTTGTTAGCACATATCGGTACATAGGGGACAGTGAAAGCACCACAGTCACCACACACACACAGACAGACAGACAGACAGACAGACAGACAGACAGACACACGCACACGCACGCACGCACGCATGCACACACACACACACAACAGCAGAGCGCATACAAACATCTTTAAAACCTACAATTCAAACTGAAAGCAAAATCAATTTCACAATAGATAGTTGCACCAAGTTATCAAAACAGAAGCTTGTATAGACATGATGAACGTAGCTTACACCCATATACCAGAGGAAAGAAGATGAGAGGAAGAGATCTCACCATTGGCATTCGGTACACCCCATAAATTTGGTGCTGCTGTTGACAAAGCAGGTGCCACCATTGGTGCTGGTGCTGCCATTGGTACTGATGCCTGTACAGGAGGGGCAGCAAATGGATTAACATTCAACGCCAACAAGTCGTCAGATGGTCTTGTACTTTGCACTGCAGCTATCAAATAATACAGAGAATTTTGATTAACAAATACCGAGCATAAGGAATGCCATTAAATTATGCATATTTCTGTGGGTCATTCTAAGACTGTATTTTCCAATCAATATCACATCATTTTGGTGTCTTAAGTACCTAAGTTTAATCAGAACACAAAGGCAGTGAATGACAGACAGGTTAAAAATGGAGTGTCTTCATGACTGGTGCCGCAAAAATACTTATTGTAAGAAGAGACAAGTACAGTATATATCTTGTACTCAGTGAAATGGTGGGGATGTTTTCAATTTCACGAAATCTGTTAATAGATTTTGATATGAAGATCACAAATTATTTTTGTTACATCAAGTCTCAGAAGTATTGGGGCAGCCAATTTGCAAACTCGCTAGCGAATTGGCTAACTGCTCTGGTTTTGACTAAACGGGAATGATGTAAACAGCTGGGACATTACAAGACCAACCAATATAGTTTGGCATCAGGGAAGGGAATTAGATTAAAAAGTAATGACAGCAAAGCCTTGTGTAGATTGGAATGTTTATAGCAGTTGATGTATATGACCACTAGGTTGAGGCAATATACATAAGTGACAGGAATAACAAGTCATTGTCAATGACACGTCCCTGTTCCGTTCATATTTGAGTGACATACACATTCAAAGCAGATCATGACCGAAATCTCAGACCACTTTCAGTGGTCTGATCCGAAATTCACCTGCATATGTACAACACATTGTACTAAATCTGAACAAAATCCATCCATGCATGACTGAGATCCGGTTCCTGAATGGAAAATACGTGATTTTGATGCATTTCGGCCTTAA